TTTTTTTTAAACTTTTTAGAAATACTTACATACGTAGTTTCAAGAAAATAAGCATTATAAATTACAAGTAAAAGACCATATAGCAGTATTCTGTTTTCTGTAGAATGTTTTTGGAAACTGGTTATAACTTATAAGATTTAAATGGGCCAAGAGAGACCTGTAGCGGCACATATTGTTGCCTTTGCATATATTGTCTCTGGCGACATTATATAAAGAATTGAGCTTTGGCACATATTGTCGCCCACCGGTACAAATTGCCGCCCAGGGATAAAATATACCTGCACACACTGTCGCCGGCGACAAAGTGTGCAGACCCTTTTGACACATATTGCCGTCCTGAACATCAGAGTTTGCATGATGATAATCGCTGATTGCAATTAAAATTATTTTTACAATTTATCAATTAATTGAAAATCCATGGCACACGTAGCCTGCTGTGTCATTGTGCAAAATTGTAACTGCTCACAATGTCACTCGTTCAGCAGAAGAAAAATAAGGCATAACTATTATATCGGCACATTTTGTCAACGACAATATGTGCCAATGAACGACACTATGTCACTTTAAAGGATGAATCTTCATAACATTGCGATTTCGCCCGCTTACATTAGTTAATAGCTCTAAGCATGGGCTACGCCATTACGGCTATGTAGGTCATTCTTTTATTTGAATAAGACGGAGCGTCTTAAAGTAGCGTGTGTTCGAGATGAACTAAGTCTTATTAACGAAATTCAGGTCATAACCTTAAATTCATTTGCAACTTATTGTGTCAAAACCCTCTTTTACAAATGTTTTTTTCACATGCAACAGTATCTTGTTCGGTCCTAGTGAATCAGCAAAACATATGGTGGAACTCTTTATCTGACTCACTCAATGTTCACCTGGAAGCTAAACTACATGTATTCGGTCTACCAGAAGATGAACATACTTCTTGGACGACCAACACTTATCCTGTCTGAAGGGGGGGGGGATCGAGTTTGAAAAACTCAGTGCTCAAATGTTGTCACATCCAGTGCACTCTACAACAAGCTGCAAACAAGAATTTGTCAACGAAGAGTCCAACCCCCTTGTCTGGCTAACCTTTACTATAAAATAGTGTACTATAATAAGTGTTATTTTCTGCATGTTGCATTTTTGTGTATTTTTTTTCTTTCGTATTTTAATTATTTAAGGGAGCCGACTGGGGTTTTATTGTGTGAAAACTATTATAGAGAAACTCTTTAATTTAATTCCATATGTACCTAACATTGACTTCAGTATACATGCCAAGTTTAGTGAAAATCTACCGTCTGGTAATTTTGTAGGGACCATCTCAAAATACAGGTACATTTACTATACGATTATATAGGGAAATACCTTTTTTTTTTAGCACTTCGGAGCAAATTATACAAATGCTACTATAGACTTTTTGCCAAATTATATTATTTGATGGGTAATACTATATTGTACATTTCATGCAAGAAACACAAAATTCTACCGTCTGGTTTCCAGAGGGGGCTTCTCAAAATGTCAAAATTCATGATATTTTCCTGTTTTTCTGGAGTACAACAAAACATGAAAGATACCACAGATTTACATAAAAAATAATAAAAGTGATTGTGAGATTCTCAATTTACAATGTTTAAAATTTCAAGAGCACCTATTTTATAAGTAAATACGCCTTATTTTACAATGCTGCGCGAAGTATTGCGCGATGAAAACCCCAGTCGGCCCCCTTAAAACACGGGGGGGGGGGTCTCTCTCTTTATAGCGTGATTAATTTATAATTTATTTATGATGCAATTGTCTTGCTAAAAAAAATATCTGTTGCAGAGAAAATCAAAGATGAATGAAACGAGTTATATTTGAAATGATAAATTTACTGGAAATTTTAAATTAAAATGTACACATTATGAATACAGAATGGAATATGTAAAAAATGCTCTTGGGGAACTGAAATCTTGCCGACTTCGCCTCGGGAAATAGGCTTGCTCTTAGGAGTACATGTATATCTTAATACTATTGTCGTCTTAAATGATTGATTGTTTAAAAAATACGAGACTGTTCAATTGGAATAGCCTTTTACATGTATCTACTTATTATTGTAATACATGTAATAGTTTTCATTATTATTAAGGACCGGTACACACGGTAAGGCTTGCCTTATAATAATGAAATCCACTCACACAAATATTCGAATAAGATAATGAAAATATCCGCAAATGCTTTTGTTCAACCTCCTCTTTTTCAAGAAGTGTGATTGCACTAGTCTTTAAAATTATTTTAAAGTCCTAGCAAGTAATCTATACTTCTGTTTTAATGATGTGCACTGTTTATGCCTCAAAAACACGTGGAATTTATTGAAATGTTGTTTATAATCTTGTAAGTCATGCCTTAGCGTGTGGACGCTACGTCCGTCCTGCAAAATGTAAGGTTTTAGACTTATAAGACAAGTCTTACCGTGTGTACCGGCCCTAACATCGACTACTACTGACACACGTTCCTGAGATAATTTTTTTTAAGAAGACAAATTTGGTGTAATATTAAATTCAAATCCGTAAATAATAACTCCAATCTTTAAATAATAAAATTAAATTAAAAACGTTTTAAAACTAAAGTTGTTACAAATAAAAAAAATATCAAAAGGGGTTCGTATTGAAATAGGTCGGCCAAATGGCCGGGGGGGGGGGAGGGGGGGGTAGACCGAGTCATATGTTTTGGAGGGTGCGTATCATTACCGCTACATTTTCAAAATTTTCATTACTGCCATACTCAATTACCACTACAAAAAAGATTACATTACCACTACATTACCTCTACATTGTCTCGTTCATTAGCCATCGGCTTTTTTTATGTACATATTGATAATAAGTACAACAAACACGTGTTAAAGACCTTTTTTTCTGCTCACCACGAGGGAAGTGAATATAAGACTTTGAACAGATTTTTTTTTCACTTTTTCTATAAAATCTATTTTATGTAATAAAACATTTTAGAAAATATTAAAACAGAGAAATTGTTCACGGATAAAACACACAGTCTTCACAGAATTGATAGATCTTTGAAGGCCATTTGCTTGACGTAGGCCTACTGCTGTCTGGAAATCTCGTCATTTTCTTTGAATATTTCATTGATGAAAGGTCTTAAATATACTCGTACATGTATGGGAAATTGTTAACATTAAACAGCAATTCACATAACTTGTTGTGTTGACACACGCGCTTTTGAAGAACTTCTTGGGACTATTGTTAACAGATACAGTACACCTCTCATTCAAAGTAAAACAGGTGCCAGGGACGAACAATTTTGATCCGTCATTATACCGCATAAACGAAAAAAGTGACATCTTTGATTTTAGTATCCATGGACATCACATTATATAAATACTGCATGTATATAGTTGAGGGTAACATTGTAAATTTTCAAATGTTACCCTCTACTACATGAAGTATTTATTATATCATTCTATATTATATTATTCTGAATGTTTTATACAAATACAAATAAAGATGAAGCGCTCGCGCATAGATTCCGGGCGGTCTTTTTTTTTGGGGGGGGGGGGGGATGATATCATCCGTCGTCAAGCAATGTTGACTGTTGTTAAATTCTATCTGGAAGGCGTGGTTTCATCATTCAAAGGGTAATTTCCGGGCCCTCAGATACTCACTCTTGCTAAAATCTATAATATATAGGACAACGCTACTGGACTAACAAGCTCATTTCATAAGACACATTAATGCTTTGTTTTACGTGCGAGCAGTTTTTTCCTGAATATTAAGGTCCATTAAAACTGAAAACAAAACTTCCCAGAAAGACAAATAAATTGATCTACTTTTCGATTTTATGTAATAGAAAGATCTTATGCAATGTTAGTGTCCGTCATTTGTAAGTCTGGACTTTCAACTGTCTGATCTACTTGTATTTTTACAATTTGCTTCTCCTCTTACAGTTTTGTCCGATTTAAATAAAACTTGGAATACAAGTAGCGTACGCTAAGATACTTAGTTTTTTGTTTCACTTTTTTATTTCAGTGAATGGTGTTGCCATGGTCACAAAAAAAAGAATTTCTGTCAAGTTCAAAAATGCAATACGATATCGGCCAATCTTGTAAAACATATATTATAGGTATAACACCATGATACACATTAAAATTGCACTAGTCAACGTTGTAGTGGTTATCTACATCGATAAAATTTCTTAGATACCACTGGGTTATCATTCTATAGAACACATTGTCAAAGAGGAAGGACAACAATTTAATACCCAGTCTTCAGATAATGCGTTCATTCGTTGAACTTTATGTTTTTTAGGGGACAGGGGGTGGGGGTGGCACCGAAACTCGTGCTTAATTATCATTTTTTTAAAATTTTCATTTTGAATAAATCAATGATGAATTATTAATAAGGAATAAAATCAAGACACTTCAACTCCCTTTAACATGAAAATTGAATTTAATGAAAAGAGGTTTTGTGGATTTATGTACTTCTCTCCACAGAAGAAAGAAATAATCAAGAAAAACTGGTTTCATTAGTATTTCCAAAATTCTTTAATGGGGTGTGCTCCAAAGCCCTGGTTCAATCACACCGGTACCTGTATCCAACCTTATTAAATAATACATTATTTATTAACCCCTTCCATCAATATCATGCAAAGCGGGAATTTTGAAAAAAAAAAAAAAAAAGGGGGGGGGGAGTCTCATATAAGTACCCAAAACGTGGAGCGGGGGACGGGGTGCATAACATTTTCACTGATTCCTTTGTTGAACGTAGGACGGTCGCAGGGAGAGTGTGGCATATTTTGGTCAAAATTTGAGGCATGTTACCGGATACTGTTACCTGATATTGCATATGCAAACAAAGAATTTTTTAAGCTTGGTTATAAGTTCTAAAAAAACTTTTGACCGACACAATCAAACATACATAGATATTTGATAAAATGAATACGAATTTACTTTATTACTTTACTAATTCAATTATATAATGAGAATATTTTAGCACATTAAAGAATACGGGCTAGGCTAGTAGATCAAATAATAAAATAGACTGAGATTTGAAATATAAATAGTGAATAAAGCCCATCTCTTTACATATTTTCAAATTTGATTTAAAAAAAAATGATGAAAAGTAATTGCAAAATAAAAAAACCCACCTGACCAGAAGGCCCACTTTAATCTTAAGGACATACGCAACGTAGTTTGTCTTTTTCCCTGGAGTTGAAGAGTTCCAATACTTAAAGGAACTATGTGCTTCATTTTAATGTCTATATATGCTATTGTACACTTCTTCTAAAACAAGTTTGGATAAACAAAACATCTAGAATATTTGTATGTTTTTCTTTGAATTATACAAGAATTTTCATCAATTGATATCTTTTCAATACCCCTGGTAATGTATGCTGATTTTTTGCTTACGAACATCTGATTGCACTATAATCTTAAATTAAGAATATCTCAAAAACTTATCAGTAGGAAAGGTACGTTGCGTATGTCCTTAACAAATAATTTCATTAATAAGTCAACTAATTCTGAACAATATTTGCATATAATATACTGTTACATAGATATAGATGTGTGCCATGTACAACCAAGTACACAATTAATGCAAATTTCTTCTTAAATAGGTAAACCCGATATAAAGGCTTCAAAAGGAAAACTGGACCTTTATGACTATAGGCTTAATTCATCTTTTTCCATTAAAACCATTTATTATTTTTAAAAAAAATAAACTTCGCTGTGTGTCTTCAGAATAGGGTGTACTTTTAAGTTCCTAAAATCATAAGAATGAAATCTAATACACTGAAGATGCCAAAAGCCAGAATGCTTGCCTGAGTCATATTGTGTCTATTGCTCTTAAAAAGATTGTTTTTAAAGATTTTTCCCCTCCATATTCCCATGAAAAATGTTGACACCTATATACATGTAAAATTTTAACCCTAATTTTAGTCTTTTTCTAATCCCAATGTCCATAATTTAAACAAAATTAAATACTGACACATAGATACATGCAAAATGAAACCCCTACTTTTAACCCTTACCGAACCCTAATGTTTATAATTTGAACAAAATTAAATCTCTATCATAATGATGTTGTAATGTTGGCATATGAATTTGCTTTATGTCACCCTGCTAGTTTTTCACTTATACATATTTTCATGCAAAACTTTTAACCCCTGTGCAGCTCTATCCTCGCCTTACGGGCAATGAAAAAACTTGAATCTATGCTCATGAAGAAAACTCTTGGATAACTGTTACATTTGTCTTATATGACCAAGTTGTTCTTAAGGTATTCAATGTATAATGACCATATTCTGTACCTAATAAATGAGTTGTCCAGTGTTTTTAATCAAGTTAGCATTTTGAAGATGTTTTCAAATAAAAGTACACCACCAAAGGAATTTACAAAATTTTGCTTATTGTCCAATTAATTGCACCTTGAATTTTACACTGAGGTCTATGGGCAGCACATGTTTTGTTTAGATATTCTAAAAGGTAATTTGAACTTCATACAAATCTCTTGTGAAAATATGCATAAACTCTCTCTTTATTAAAATATGAAATAAAATAAGTCATCTACCACAGATATATTGACAAATTTTAAATTTTCTTCTTTGCATCAAGGGCAGATAACTCTTGAAAATGTTTACAGTGCAAAATGGTCAGTTTCTAACATGATATCAGTCGTGTGAATTTGGTTCATTTTACTTTCATAATTATCTAGCAATACATATTTAACTAGTTTAAAATGATTCAAAATTGCTCAATATTCCTTCATTATACATTGAATACCTTAAAATGAAAGTTTTTTAATGACATTATCCCATTTTTCATATTTCTTCATTATCTCCCCTTGAAAAAGGATTCAGCACCTTTATTTAAATAAGCTTTATTCCTTTTAAGCAGAGATTATTTAACGTTGTACCAAATGTGGTTTACACTGACTAAATGTTAGAAAAAAAAAAAGAAAATGTTAAAAGTTAATGGAAGACAAACAGTCAAACATATAAATGTTGCATTGTTGGATACCAGAGACTTCTTTTTATTAGAATTGTGCCATTGAGCCTTTGGATCAGGTGAGCTAAATTCCATATCCACATTTAGCTATGGACCTCACTGTTTAAACAGGTGTGTTATATCTCCCTGAAGTAATGTACACCATATACAAATGTAATTTTAAGGCAAATCACTTCAATTTATAAATACTGGTACAATTTAGAAGATCTAAATTCCACTGGCAACTGTCAAAGGCAATCTAGTCTCACTTATAGACGAATCAGAATGTTTTTAAATGTACTTTTAAAGCTTTAATTCAATTGTCACAGCAGATTTTGTTTAACTTCCAAGAAATATTTTTCACACTGGCTGGCTTTCTCAGTTGGGTATTCAAGCACTCAAAATGGCTGCATGATTATTTTTTCTGGTGAACACTAGGAATTTTCTTTAGTCATGGTTTTCTTCTTCAGCCCACCATCATGCATGCATCTATATCGAAATTAAATTTAAATGATCATTTAATCATGCATGTTTTTATAAAAAGCACTTCAAATCATCAAATGCTTCCCGCATATATATATATATATATATATATATATATATATATATATATATATATATATATATATATATATATATGTGTATGTAGATGTATGTAGAATAGTATATTATTTGAATTTGGAATTATTGGCAAGTGTAATCTGGTTCCCCTTAAAAATTAAAAAGGATATAATTCTGTCAAAAATCAACAAAGTGGAATGAAATGCAAACTTGATCTGTATATTAATTATCAAGGTACACTCACATATACTAAAAATCAGCTAAATACACATGTATAGATGTTTGCGAGTGTTTAGTATGGTTGCATATTTCTGCCCCATACATGCAAGATAATTAAATTATGTTAACATGAAACATAATTATGTAGACATGCGATTTATCTATGTCAATATGCAAAATAATTATGTTAACATGCGAGATAAATATGCAGATATGCAACTTATTTATCTCAACATGCAAGATAATAATGTTAACATGCAACTTATATTTGTCAACATGCGACTTGTTTACGTCAACATGCGAGTTATATTTTACATGCAAGATGATTATGTTAACATGCAATTATATTTATGTCAACATGTGACTTATTCATGTCAACATGCAACTTATTTATGTCAACATGTGAGTTATATTTAAACATGCAAAATAATTATGTCAACATATGCATGCAAGATAATAAGTTGCATGTCAACAAACATATCTCACATGTTGACATAATTAACTCGCATGTCAGCATAATATCTTGCATGTTGACATAAATAAGTTGCATGTTAACATAATTATCTTGTATTGTTGACATAAATAAGTCACATGTCTACATAATTATCTTGCATGTAAACATAAATAAGTCGCATGTCAACATAATTCTGTTACATCTTGCTTGTATGATGTCATATAATGGCGTGCGTAAGTTTACCAACATTAAAATTAGATTCTCTCAAGAAGTTGGTAACTTACATGTCAACATAATTATTTTGCATGTTGGCATAAATAAGTCGCATATCTACATAATTATGTTGCATGTTAACATAATTTATCTTGCATGTACTGGGCAGAAATATGCCACCAATGCCCATAGTTTAGGAAAAAAAATCCAGAAAACCAAGTGACAAAGACTGACAAACAGACTGAAAGACAAATAAAGGGGAAACCTGTAGTCCCCTCCGGTTTCACTGGTAGGGGACTAAAATAATTACATATGGTGTACAAATATTTTGGCGACTCTCTGGAACAGTAGTATATTCATTAATTTTAAAATGTACATCATGAAAATATTGATCTTAGTACATGTACATGATGTGCCATAATAGAACATGCTAACTAAATAAATTAAAAGGAAAATCCCACTTTTCAGAGCACGGTTGTAATAAAACAAAAAGTGTGGAAAACCAAATGGGACAGACTGACAGACAGTCAAGGAGAAAACCTATAGTCCTCTCCAGTTTCAACGACATGGGACTATTGAAATAAGAAGTTTACACCCCCTCAAATTTTAAACATATTAAAAGACCCTTCTTTTTGGGATTGAGATTTTTAAAAAAAAAAACCCTGATATTCTTACATTTGGTGATTCAAACAGAATTATAAAATTTAAAACTAAATTCACATAAAATTTTAATGAATAATGAGTAGAGAAAACATTTTTTAAACATTAGAAATTTTATTCTATCCAATTTAGCAAATATTTTTCATCACTCGAATCATTCCTGCTATGGCAGATTAAAATCTGAAGAAAATAATTATTAGATGTGTAGGTTGCAGGGACTTTTGAATGAAAATATAATGTGTATAGGAAGTCTTAACATACATATATTAGCTGTACATATATATAGTCAGATTTATACATTAATATATAAAATATATACACTGTTTATATTATACATGTACATACACTGTGCTGTAGAAAGCCTGTCCATTGCTAGAATTCATTCACCATTTTTTAAATATGTTGTCAACTTAGTGTCTTCAACATATCCCTCTCAGGCCAAAAAAAATAATAGTCTTGTTTCCTGCTACCCGACCTACCCTATTTTTATGCACCTGACCCTAAAGGTTTTTTTAGTTTTGGAAGAAAAAAAATCGGGAATTTCATCATTTTGTTGCCGTAATCGGTTTCGATGTTAACACAAAACAAGCATTTCATGAAATTCTTGTTTTAAAATATGGACTTTCATAAAATACCCTTGAGTTGTGCATATAAAAAGACATGAAATTTAATTTTAAACGACAATATTGACCTGTGACGTGTTTAATTTGATCTTGTATTAGTTTACATCCAAAAAATGCCATCAGAAAAAATAAAATGAAAAAATAAAATAAAATAAAATAATTTTCCTACCTAACTACCCTATTTTTTTCAGGCTGGTAGCAGGAAACAAGACTATTATTTTTTTTGACCTAAATATCAGTTAAACTTACACAATTAACATGATTAACTGACACATTTACTTTCAACAGATTTTATCTAAATACGAGGGGTTATCAAAAAGTTCGTGGACTGATGCGATAAAATGAATACTATGTGGTCTGTGCTTACAAAATTTATAAGGAACATTATACAACGAAAGTTTAAGAAATGTTGAAAATTTTAGGTTGATACGTTGATAATTTGCCAAATTATTCTAAAATTTAAAAGACATTATGTGATCACCCGGCGCTGTCGTCGTTTAGTTTTATGACTTCCGATAACGTCATTGTTTTTCAATGTCCGCTCTTTCTTTATATAATACACTTATCTTGATGACCTTACCTGGAGTTAAGTAAGGACTTAAGCCCATCTTATTTATATGACTTTACAATGTCATGAACAGCTGCTTTCAATGCATATAATATTGTAAATGGATCTATACATAGGGAAAGATCCTTTCTTGATTATGCCAGAATACGTAGCTTGTTGGAGTTCAATTTCTACCACAGATGATCAACGTCACTTTTCGACGTGACTGACTTTTGACACCTTGACTACAAATCAACATTAACTGTGCATCTTTCATCTCTCTGACTCTTTTTTTTAGGCATTTAAAAACAAGTACTCTGGATGCATTTTATTTTTCTGTAGCCTGTTTCAACATTCCCTGGGTCTATACCAGTTTACCAGGTATGAAACTTTATAGAATATTGGAAAAAGAAACCCCTTCCCCTTTTTGACGTCATTTTTAAGCCCTCAATTTTTTGGACACTCCATATAAAATTTACGATAAAATTTCATAGAACTAACAGACTGGGGTAAAAATTGCAAATTTTACGGAACAATTGTGTCGTACCACATGCCTGAACTAACAGGATTTTTTGATGACAAATGTTCATATCAAACAAATTTTTCTCAGTTACTCTCAGGTAGAGAAAATGTCATATTTGAGATTGCGCCGCCTGGACATACCATTGCTTACAAAAAAATTAATAATTTATTTAAACATAAAACTTATGATTGATGGCTTATTCTATAGATAGAAAAGATGATGCTAAGTGTGTTAAAATTCATTGATGTACCTAAAGCGGTTTTAATTTTATGGCGCTAGTCCACGAACTTTTTGATAACCCCTCGTATATCTCATGATTTTATTGCAATTATAAATTCATAAAATTTATATGTCCTTTATTTGTCGCACATAGTCTCTTAATTAGGGGTGTATTGTTATATATGTACCAGTATATGGAGATAACTTTCAACTGAAGTTGGTTACCGGTTAAAGGCAATCTTAATTATCTTTACTTTTTTTGTTGTCAATTTAAAAATCAGAAAAGAATTCAAGTCATCTTAAAGTACAACTAACTTTTACAAATGTAATTTTTTTTTTTTTTTTTTTTTTTGAGATATAGAATTTTGGATTACTGATTCTATAAACATGATAAATTATATTTAAAAACATATTTCATAATGATTGAAGAATACATTTTTTCTTAACAATTTTACAGTGGAAACTTCTAGGATTTTTTTTTAATATTCTAAAGAACATGTAGAACAAAAGTAAAAATTGATATGCATCAATATATATCATAAAACACAAGTCAAAATATTGTCATGATTAAATTTTTTTGCATTTTGATACTCATCCCTACTTTTAATTAAATGAATATTTACTCTAGACTTTGTGTAAGTTTTGAACGAGAAAGCATTTTTGAGATTATAGACTCAAAGCAAAGCTAGTTGGCTGACAACAAAACAAGAGACCCATGGGCAACAACACTCACCTATTAGTCACTTTGGCCTTCTGTTCTGCCACAGATTTTTTCCCCAATATACATGTACTCCTATGTAAAATTTTGATCATCTTTTGTGGCCCAACCCTATATACATGTATAGGGGCAATCATTTAACAAAAAATGAATCTACACTACCAGAGGATGCTTCTTACATTATTATGTTTCATCATGGCTTTGTTGTTCTTGAGAAGAATTAAGCATTTTAAAGATTTATCCAATGTAATCCCTACTGTGGCCCCACCCTACCCCCAGGGGCCATGATCTGAACAATTTAAAACCTACACTACGTAAGAAAGCTTTCACCTAATTTTCATCTTTTCTAGTCCAGTATTTCTTGAGAAGATATTCAATTTTTTCTTATATATATTTTTTAATGTAAAGTTTGGATTCCCTATTGTTGCCCTACCCTACCCCCAGGGGACATGTTTTGAACAATTTACAATCTACACTACCTCATGAAGCTTTCAACTAAATTTCATCTTTAATAGTCCAGTAGTTTTGAGAAGAAGATTTTTAAAGATGTTTTTCCTATAATATTTTCAATGTAAAACATCCATTCCCTATTGTGGTCCCACCCTACCCCCGGGGGCCATGATCTGAACAATTTATATAATCTAATATTCCTTAGGAAGCATTTATATAAGTTTCAGCTTTTCTGCCACAGTGGTTCTTGAGAAGAAGATATCTGAAGATTTTTCCTATATATTTCATTGTAAAATTTTCATCCCCTAATTTGTGGCCCCATCATGCCCCATGGGGGCAAGATTTGAATAATTTACAATCTACACTACCTCAGAAAGCTTACATATAAGTTTCAGCTTTTCTGGCTCATTGCTTCTTGAAAGAAGATTGTTCAATGACTCCACCCTATTTTTGCATTTCTTGATTATCTCCCCTTGCAAGGAAACTTGGCCCTTCATTTTAAAATTTAGAATCCCCTTTACCCAGGAATGTTTTGTACCAACTTTGCTTAACATTGGCCCAGTGGTTCTTGAGCATGTTGAGAAGTTGAAAATGTGAAAAGTTTACAGATGGACGGACAGATGCTGGACAATGATGTGTGATCAGAAAAGCTAACTTGAGCTTTCAGCTCAGGTGAGCTAAAAACTGAAAAAGGGGGGGGGGGGTTAAGTCATACATGCACCTTGTCCATCAGCTTTCATGAAAATTAAAAATATATGTACATGTATTTTAAAAAAAAAATCAATGTGAGAAGCTACATGTAAAAATTAGTTAAAATTAAATGGTAGTAATTAAAATTGCTAGTTCATTAACAATCAAGATAATTAATATAAATGTTTAATTCACTTACCAATAGTTAGATCCAAGTTCATATAACCATATTTCCAATGGTTGATTCTTTGTCATCAAAACTCCTAAAACCCGTTTTAGTCTTAACTCGCACATCTTCCTTGAATTTCTGAGAATCATGATTTTTGTTAATTTTGTCACTCACTCAATCATGAGTCCAACAGTATTTTCCTGACTTTGTGGAAGTCTGAAAAAAGTCCTGAGGATTACACTCTACTATTCTTTTTTTTCACACTCCCATGGACTTTACTCTGATGTGTCATATTTGGTTTCTCACAATCCTTAAATCTTTCTATTGTGGCTATATATGCTTCCTTTAAACTTGGTTGATATCATGTGTTCTATGATCCACCACAAGCTGTAGAACAGAGGTCCTTCTTAAAGGTATTGTTGATAAGAAATGTTCATAACTGAAAAGACAAATTGTTTCCCATCTATTAGAATGTTGCAGACCTTTAATGAAATATACAAGCAGTACTTAAGCTCAAAGGTGCATTGAAACATTACTAATTGTGAGCATAGTAAACATAGATCTTTAAAACATCAGAGGTGGGATCAGTTGTCATGGAGGAATAGGCATCCCCTGTCAACTAGTTACACCTACTGTGAGCTCCTTGTCATAATAGGGTGAATGGATAAATCTGTAGACAATTCAGTATAAAAATAATGGCCTAACACTTTCTGTATGAAAAACATCAGTAAACATTTGACTTGTCTCACAGTAGACTATATTTGTTAACAAGGTCATTGTATCAAACCAGGGTTTAATTGACATTTCCTTTTATGAGTACTAGACAAGTCGGGCTACTTCCCATAATTTTTATTATTATACCTCTAATGTAATTACTCTATATAAAATTAATACCATAAAACTGTCTATTTCCACGAGAAGAGACTATTTCCCTCATCTGAGGACTACTCCCTGGAAAATCAGAGCTACTCCCTGGGACTACTCCCTCATGAATATTTATTAGTAATTTTAACCAATCAAAGTGTTCAGTGGGCGGAACGTTTAAGAAATCTCGAGTCTGTGACGTCATGTTATTAGCAATGTAACTATGACGTCAAAACATTTCGACATGCGATGTCAAAATCATACTTGGATTCTAGCGAAATGAAGGCAACGATAATTCTTCAAAATGTCAGTGAAAATACTTTTTAAAAATAATTTAATTGTTTTAGGACATGATGCATTACTTATAACAATGTGTTAAACCGCATGTATTTGTGATTTTGCCTCTTCATTGTTTTTTTTTTAAATGTCGGAACGTCTGGTGAAAAAATTAAATCGTCTATGATTGTTTCGGTATAATAAAACAGTTATGGAATGGGAACTCGGGAAATAGCAAATTTATGGTTCCCCTCGGCAGGAAACTGGGAAATAGTTTCCTCCCTCGGGGAACCATAAATTTGCTATTTCCCTCGTACCCATTCCATAACTGTATACTAGCCCTGACCGTAAAATCACTAGCCCCGACCAAACTGAAATTTTTTTTCTTTTTATAACCTGGTATTTGAGTGAAAAAAGTTCAAAACCATACTATCTCTCGCATGTATTAAGATAATACATTTTGACAGACTTTTCCATAGGTCACAGCCCATTCAGTCGGGTTAAACAGAACATGCGAATATTATAGGCCTTAAAGAACATACAAGGAACTTTAAAAAATTATTACCTTAAATATAAATAAATTAAAGAATATATTATTCGATATATATTATTCAATAATTTTTATACCAATTGATACTGAACGAAGCTAGTTTCGATCGCAAATTGTCTATTACAGCCAGGATAAAAATAAGGATTGTGTCATGCCGTGAAGTTTTCTTTTTCAGAGCGATGGCTGCGTTTACAATCAGAAAATTAAAAAAAATTGTTTACAAAGTTTATAGAACATTTATTTGAAAGACTGAAATGAGATTTAACATTATTTCATCCACACGACCAGTCGGTCTAGATCGAGAACATTTGACACGACCGGACCACTCATTTACTAGACTGGGTCACTTGGAAGTGCCTTAGTGTCAAACCCTGCAAGCACAGAATTTGCAAAATGTTGGCTATACCTATACCTGTATACCTTGGCTATACAACTTATTTGCCAATAGCTTGCCTCATTTTGGTAATTGTTTGTACATAGTACACATGCTCTTGCCCTTTGAATCAAATGGGAGACTTAAACTCCATATGCAGGTGATAATGCTACATAAGTAAGGGAAGTTAATAATAGAAAAATGAAAGTTATCGTGTTTATCATAAAGTTTAGTTGTTACTTTGCCATTAATGTCTTTATCTAGTAAAATATCCAAATATGAAACAGATGTATCAGCCTCTGTGGTGTCTTTAATTTTGAGTTCAAAGGAAAATACATGTGAATGACAAAATTTAAATGCATGTATAATGAACAGTGATCAATCTCAAAATATCTATAAAAATCTATAAAAAAAAATCTATAAACAATACAAATCTGTGAAGAGCCTCGCATAAAACAAGGACCCCCTGGAAATCCCAGAGGTGGGATCAGGTGCCTAGGAGGAGTGAGCATCCTCTGTTGACCTGTCAAACCTGAATAAATTAATGTAGGAATAAAAATGAATAATTACTATCCATTGATAAAGCATCATCAATATATTTACATGTACATCATATATCTAATGTACCGGCAGTATGTATAGGATAGGAAATACAAAATAGTGTATTTTCAACTTAAGGTCATAATATTAAAAAAAATCCTATATTTCCAAAAATTGGCTTTCATTTGTTTCATTGTATTTAATCATGTAAATAATGTACCTGACCACCAACATATGGCATGTGGCTTAAATGTGCTATAATTACACATGCATCAAAATTTAATTCTATAATTATAGCTTTGCTTGGTGTTCACATGGAGTTAATGCAAAGAAATTTAATGCACAGTTAATTAATTTGAATTAACTTATTCGCATTAAGGGGAGACAGGACACATGTCACATGATTGAATTGACTGTGCCATAGTCAAAGGGGCTGACAAATAATTTTTTAGGCACTTGTCCAAAGGCAAGTGCACGGTAAAAATTCACTTGCACTACCTGAATTTTTTCTTGCCCCACCATCATGACCATAATCTAATACTGTATATATTTATACATATTTCAAAAAATAGGAAGACAAATAATGAGTAGATCATGCAAGCCCCTGTGTCTAGCTTTATTTCTATGACTTACCGGTACACATGGATTTAATTTTTTAAAAGTCACTTGCCCACGGGCAAGTGGTTGATAAAATTGCACTTGCCCACCCTTAAAATTCACTAGTCACGGGCTTTGGGCAATGGGATTTATCCTCTGAGTCACTGTTAATGTAGGTGCTAAACATTGTTAAAATCATCATTATTTGTGTAATTTTTGTTCAACTTGTTAAGCTTAAACATTTAATGTAAAATAATTAAGAGTATTAAATGATCGTGTAAATATTTAAAAATTGTGAAATTGATCGATCCACCCCTCTATTTCTTTATGCTACAGTCTAACAAGTCAGTGATTTCATATATGTTCTCTCAGTGCAGTGAGATCAAGTACATGTTGATTACCTGGTAAGACTTGGTAAGTTTAATAACATAGAAATAGATCAAAATCAATGCTTCGTGATGTATTTTTTGAAGCAGGAACTACAAAAATAATTATTACGTTTTTAGTAGCAAAGATTCTCTGAATTAATATTTCATTTCGGTTGTGTATGTTTTCCTGTAACGTCACAGTTGTTTTTCCCACACTCGGAAAATGTAAAGATGAAGCGTTTTTACCACGCTTATGTCTTGTTCAATGTCCTCTGTGATAATGAGGTAAGCTTCACGTTATGATATTGCTACAGTTGATTACTATGAAGAAGGACTTCAGTTCAATCATAAATCTTCAAATATTTATAGACAGAATTATTTCCCAAATGAATTTTTCGTCGTTGAAGATGTCTTGAAAAGTACGTAATTCATCCAATCCATATACATTGTGAAATAGCAAAAATGCTTAAAGAATTTTAAATTCTATATATATTCTGAATACTTGAAGAGATGCATGTCCTTATACATATTTTTTTGTTTGTGATTTAAAATTTCCATTTTAGACTTAGTTATGGACCCATAAACACGAAGAACCAAAACTATTTACAGACACTGTGCGAAGCGATATTTGTATGGCGATATCGCTTAAATAAGTCAAGAAATCTGAACGCAGAATTACTTTAAAATGTGTAGGACATATGAAGTTAAAAGTATACAAAATATGAAAAAAAATTCATTGACTAGATTTTTTTCAGCTCAAGGCCCTGTTCCTCCTTAAATTCTCCGTGTGAATGTGGTCCAAATTTAATCTGCAGTAACTTACATTTAATTCGAATTAAACTCTCCTTGTGTAGAGGATATTAAATGTACATATCTCATACTGTACACCCTCATCAAAGTTTCACAACCAGTTCATACATATTCTTGTCAGCTGTCAAAATCACATTCGCATGATTAAAATGAAAGTGAACGTTAAGTTGAATACCGATCCCGATTAGAATCAAGACCAAGGACTGTAAAGTGTTAAGGACCCTCTATCGTGCTCTATACACTAAATCAAAAATGTTTTTAGTCCAAGATGAATAAATTGAACACTTTATTTACATGCTTTCTCACTCAGGTAAACAATGTGTAGAGATTTCTGTTCATCAATACTTTAATGTCTTTGAATATTTTTCTTAGGGTGTAAATATGCCATGTACCCTATGTTGAACATGTTGAAATTCAAGAAAATGAAATAGATCTGATTAACGCATTATTTATACCTTTATATAATATGATTTTCTCATTCAATTGTTAAGAATGCTTGCATTAATTGAAATTCAGTAACAGACTGTTAGGATTTCAATTTATTAAATTTTAGATCCCAGGGCAAATAAGTCTCTATCTCCATAAAATACCATAAAATCAGGGCTCTTAGGTGTGCAGTATATAATAGAGTGTTATTAATTTGTAATTAAAATAATCATGGAGGGTAAAAAATGGGGGGGGGGGGGTTACAATCTTTCAGATTTCTTCTAATTCCATCGCAAAATATATAAAGAAAACTTAATTTATGCAATCTAAGTAATAAACAGATGATAACATTTCTGAAATAAGATATTATATTCTTGGCACACAGACTTCTTCACTATCAACAACATGTTTACCTTTTAAATTAAATTTTAATAATCTGGTTAAGTGGTAACAGATCTAGATACTCTTTATTAACAAACTTCTCTTACAGTGTAACATAATTGATCACTCAGGCTTAGAGAGTCTGCCCATCGATATCAAACATTAATTACCGGGTATTAGAGTCCCTCTGAAAGATTATGAGGCCCCTTATATTTTTTGTTGTATATTTAAATGTCTTGTCTTATTATTTTTGATACACTTACAAATAACTTGTTCCTAAAAACTTAATAATGAGTAAACTTGAGTTTGGTCTGAAATTACTGTACCTTTCCAGTCACTGCACTTAAGAATACTAAATGCATCTGCTGTACGTTTTACTCACATTAAAGTGTTGGTTATATACTGTAGATTGAAGCATAAATTTTCGTGGAGATAAAATTTTGTTGATTTGAATCTGAGAAGGTTTTGTGGGCATTAAATTTCGTTGTTACGAATGTAACCCTACTCATTTTATTGTAATGTAAAATTTCATGTGGGATTTAATTTCGATGATAATGTTAACAACAAACAACTGTCGAAATAAAGGAATATAATTCGATCTGCTTTTAAAGTATATATTGTATATATATACATGTATATAAAATGTAGCTTCTCTGGCCTTTCTATTGATAATGTAGATAAGTGAGCAGAGTCATCTAGTGTGATTACATTTTTTATTACTTTGAGGGGAAGAATCATAAAACCTGTTGAAGTTTTTGATTTTTTTTAATTTTAATTGCCCCTAGCTAGTCCTATAGGAATATGGCCTCAGACCAGTGATCAAGTTTTCATAAAGAATGAATAGATCCAGTTTTACATAATGCCAAATGTTAGCTTCAGTAATTTATGCACGATTAATACCATATTCCAAAAAACAAAAATTACTTTTCCATGCATTCTCCAGTGCCTCATGTTAGAATGGGAGGGAGTTAGAAAATTTGCAAGATTTCAAACAGCTACACATGCTACAAATCTCTGTTATTTATGTCTCTATGACACCCTTGATGACAGAAACTTTTTGAAGGATTTATAAATATTGTAAATGTTCAGTCATAATTCCATATACATGTAACATAATTGTATTCTCTGCATTTGGAAAATCTTTTCATTTAAATCTTTTTAAAAATCCCTGAATGGAAGTAAATCTCTTCATTTTGAATTTCAGTGGTTGCAATTCATACCCCAATAAAAACATGATTGTATAGTGTCTACCCCTCCTTCTTTGTCTTTTTTTTTTTGTTTTTTTTTGTTTTGCTGAAAATAAAAGTGTGCACACCATAAAAGAGAATAGTAGTTCATATTATTTTGTTTAATATATTAATACATTACATGGTATGCCCCGACGACAACAATAGCCAATGGTGTAGTGTTAATTATCTGTCCTGTACATGTTTATAAAAATGGAAAACAGCTAAAATAAAATGATGAAAATTATCGGTATGACAGTCAGTTGCAAGCATCTTTTTTTTTTTAAATCTTATTTAAATAATTAACGACAGACAGTCGTTAAGGTATTACATGTAAAACAGTACTGATTCATGACAGGTCTGGAAAAGGTATACAGATCATGCTAATACACAAACACATCATCATGAACATGAACACAGATCATTAGAACTTCAGGTAGTGTTTGTTTTTTTTTCCTGACATGTAGCTTTCCACTATTAAATGAATATTATATAATTGCATTCATACCATATAAACTTCTCCTTGCCGTGTTCTGAGTAGCCATGAACATTAATAATTTCTCATCCAAAATCAATGTTTCTACCTGAAATGTATTATAATATAAGTTTTAAAACATGCATGAATTCCATGATAAATAGGGAAAAAAAAATTAATTACTGTAACTTAAATTAGTAGAAGTTGCATTATATTCATGCATGAATCATCACAGCTATATTTACATATTCTCTCAAAATTGCCCCAATGCAATAATGAGTGCATGTCAAAAAAAATGACAAGTATCAATCTTTAAATTCTCATACTTTGAAATCTTTGTACATTAAAATTAGGGCATGTGACATGTCACTGTCTAAATGCACAATTAGGGCATGTGACATGTCACTGTCTAAATGCACAATTAGGGCATGTGACATGTCACTGTCTAAATGCACAGCATGTCTTTGACATTAATATCAACTTATATCAGTTATATAGCTGCACTATACCCTCAGTTTGCAAGGGCTAGAAGACCACGTTGAAGCAGGGACGTCTACATGCTTAACAATAATATCATTATGTCCCTGGGAGAAGTAGACAGCTACACCCCCCCCCCTTCATCATTTAAACTTGCAGAAATTATTTCTGTTTACGCTTCAGTCGAACATGTGTTTTTTAGTTGACAGCTTACTATGTACACAATATTAACAATGATTTTAACAGCCCACGTACCTATATATAACCCAAGCAGACTGAACGTTTCCCCGGCCCATAACACACGGCGTGACCGACTCTACTTTCGTTTTTAATATGAAACTTCGAACTTGGCATGACACATAAACAAGATGCGAAACACAAGAAAATATTTAAAATTTCTGACAGTATTTTGTGCTACACAATGCAAAAGATCAACGTTGATTCAATAAAATTGAAATATTCTATTAGATACAGATGCAGAAATAGTTTCTCTCCGCGAGCACAACGCACATAGGTCAATACGGAATGTACGTGTTTACCTTCCCAGAGACATAGATATAGAAAAGATTTCTTTATGTTTTTACTAACATTAATAATTATAACTTTTAGTAAATTGATTTTTACCATTTATACTGCAATTATGCAACGATGCACATTGTAACTATACAGGATATACATACCTTAGGAAAATTCTTGTGTAGACAATTAATTAATGTCATATATAATGGACACATCTTTACTCATTAATTCATAGGCCATATTTAAAACATTAAATTTATTTAATTTATTGACAAATTTTGTACTTACCTTTTACGAAGTTGACTTCGTCCCCATGTACATGACTAAGTGTGAAACGGGTACTGTATTATGATGTCATTTACGACGTCATTTGATGTAACGAGCATGCGCACTTGCAATGTGTGTAAGTCTCGCCGAGAAGAAAAAATGATGGATCGGTGGTCATCTTATACACACTCATTACACAGATCTCATGAATCCGGTCAAATTAACACATCAATTTTTTGAAATCGGATGCATCCTAGGACAGTTTCTAGTTGATTTATGACAAAATCCAACTGAACACCACCATTTCGTGTTCATAGACAGTTATGTAAACCGGACATCAATGAAATTATCGTCCCGGCTCCGCAACTACACAGCTTTATTCATTTCCGCTGCACGATAACCACTGCATGTGGAGGTAACAAGATTTTAACAAAAGTGTTACAAGATTACTAGAAGGAAATACAAGGAAAATGAAGGAAGGCAAGTCAGGAATATTTCTTCACATTCTGCCTCTTTATTAACTATCAAAGTACTCAGAAGTACAGAGAGCCGAGCTCCTAAATCAGAGTAATAAACGAAGACCGTTTTACACGAAACATACATTGTTACAGTAATAACAGATAACAAGAAGTGCAGAAACTAAATGTATATGTAACATAAGAAAAGGATATTTCTATATGGCATATACATGTAGCATAAAAAAATGTAGAAAATTAAATAAAAGCTAGGTCGAATTTAATAGCGTAAGCATTTTCTCACATTTATCGTTCAGGGGTCTTATACAACTTACAGAAGTGAATACACATTGATAAAGCAAGGTCTAACCTTTGTGCACAGATGAGTCCTCAGCGGGAGGTGTTGCAGCAAGGTTTGTATCAGGTCGCATGCTCCAGTCATTACTGTTAGCCTGGTAACACAACCTCCATTTATAGAATGTGTCGCAGACATTGCCAGCGGCCTGGTGAACCTTTTGCATATTTTAAACAAATAATTAATCGAAGAACATGGGAGGAAGTACATTACTTTTAAAGTTTATTTGTTTGGAAAATTCCTCAGTTTACCTTGTTTAATTTAGTGTCTGTATTGTCTCAGAAGCAGCTGGACATTCTTACTATATTTTTACTCGTAAATTTGATTTGATTTGACGGTGAGGAAGCTAGGGGGGTCACGGGGTCTTGTCGACTTGGATTTTCAGCTGAAATTGGAGGAAATATATAAAGCTGCAATTTCCTAAGAGCAACCCAATTCTAGCAGTTACGGTAACAATGCAGTTTGTTCCCCTGAAGACAAGGATTCTAACACACTAGTACCTGAAGCTGAAAAGGTGCTAAATTTTTTTGGCTTACTGTCAACATTGAATAGAAAGTTGATGCAAGTGAATTTTCAAATCATGATTCACATTTTCTCCTCAACCAATTGTAAATATGATTCATCAATAACACACATGAAATGGGATACTACATTTTTCAAGTAAATAATTCTCATTGTCTCTCTTGTAATAAGCTTGAAATTTTTATGCAGATCCATATTTGGAAAGACAATGAAGAGAAGGATCTAATATCGATAAGATCAGAGAGTCAAGACAAATTTCAAGATGTCAAAAATCATGACATTTTATGGGCACAAATAACAAAGACCCTTAACTCTCACAAAGTTCCTGTTACAATAAATCAAGTAAAAAAACAAGTGGAAAAATATAAAAAAAAAAAAAAAAAAAAAAAAAAAACGTATAAAAAAGTTGTTGATGACAATCAAAAAACTGGAAACAAAAAGACAACTTGGAAATATTTCGAAGAGTTCAAATCATTGTACGGTAATAGGGCGTCTACAACTGCAACAATAACGTACGACAGCTCAAAAGGGACAATGAACAGTCCAAAATCTGATGCAAGTCCCAGTGAGTCCTGTTTGCCATCAACATCCCTGAGAGAAAAACCTTAAATAGCCAGACTGATCATAGGGACTTGGATTCTAAAAAAACCAAGCTTGAAAAAAAGGTACTTTATCAAAGTCTTTGAAAAACTAACAGCTCAAGGTGATAAGATGATCGAGGAAGTGAAAAAGCAACATGCAGCAAAAATGGAGCGCTTTGATAAACTGTTAAAGAGACTGACTTTGCCTGGATCTTGGCTTTAACAAAATACCAGTATTGGGTATATGCATTGTTTGTTGTGATATTGGTGAAAATGTTTTGATAGTGCAGGTAGCTTCTTCTTACTATTGAGAAAAGTGGGATGTTTTTTTAAGTTGCCAAAAAGTAAAATAAATGTATTTTTATCTCCCAGTAATTCTATAATTCTTTTGTCATATATATTTTGTTAATATTTTTCAAAGGTTCCAATGTTTCATTATAGTTTGAAATTTGATGGTTTCTCTTTAAAATGGTGTGTTTTAACAGTAATAGAAATATTACTATGAAGAATGTACATTTAATTTATTTGTTCTCATATTTCTTTAGTCTAGTCATAGATATGACACCTATGTTCAACTTGTTAATTATTTTATTGTTCACGTGAGCTTTTCTGATAACATTTTGTCCGGCGTTGTCTGTCTGTAATCTTTTCCCATTTTTCGAGTTTTTCGCAAAATTTTAAAAAAGTAAGTATATGGGGGTTGTAAAGCTTTAATTCTAGCTATATATGAGAGTAAAACATTGTGTGAATAAAAGAACAATAGATTTTTCTATTTCTCCTAAAATAGATTTTTAAAATTCGATATAAATGCAGACATTACTTTATTAAAGATTGGTGAGCTCGCAAAAATCAGCACTACGTCTCGAAGAGAGATCCAACTGGCAATGGAAGGTCGCTCTGCCCTTCTGACCCTTTGGGGAGAAAGGTCAGAGCAGACCAACATGACCCTCGGGGCCATGAAAGGTATAATAGCCCTCAAGGCCGGGAATGAATTTCGCGGCCAGAGGGCTTATTGCTCTACCCCTTCAACAACGTTCAGGGTAAATAAACATGTTTAAAGAAATTACTTATGATTATTCTATTTATGGAAACCTAAGTTATATTTAATGAAAATTAAGGAATTTCAATGAATTAATGTACACACACAAATTATTTATAGATGGTGGAAGAAGTAGAGTTAAAGGAGGAAAATTTTGAAGGAGTAGTTGATTTCTTTTGACAGGAATACATGTAGTCTTACACGGTAGTTGAGGACATTGTCAATTATTTTATATTGACAATCTCAACAGAAATTTATCAATCCTATTTTGGACTTGAAATTGCGTATGATTTTTTAAAACTTAATTTTTCATGGAAAAAATATTGTGAAATAATAGGAAAAAAGGTACAAGAAGTATGTTCTATACTTTTTTTTTTCCATTCGCGATCAGGCTTTGTACGTGCACGTGGTAGAAAAATTGAGTTAAAAATTTATTTTCAACAATTTTATTTACTTACAAAATTTTATCATACAACATTAGTTCTATGGCAACAAAATTCATTCTCATAAAAAAATATTGCTTCCTTTTTAGTTTATAATGAAAGCATTTTTATTCTACTGAAAATGTAGATTACCGTTTTTCTTTCTTTCATGTGTAATAATTTACATATGTATATTATTTACCGAGTCAAAGAAAAGAAAACAAAAAAATAATTTTAATTTAATATTTATTACAATAAAAATCATTGATTTATTTATCATTAACGTGTCCTGAAGAAAAAATTAATATAGCTTTGTATATGATTACTATTTCAATGACATTATATAATTATTTAAAATAATTACACCTACTTCATTTCAAATGAAAACAAAAATAAAATCTAAATATTAAGTTAATTTTCATTCTTTCATTCATGTTAATTAAATTTTCATTCTTTCATT